AGCACAAGCACGGGAGGGGCAGAGAGAGGGAGACACAGAATCTGAAGCTGGCTCCACGTTCTGAGCTATCAGCACAGAGCCTAACGTGGGGCTCAAACTCATGAACTGCGAAATCATGACCTGAGCTGAAGTTGGCCACTTAACCAACTGAACCACCCAGGCGCCCCTAAAAAAATTGTTTTAGATGTTTATTTTTGAGAAAGACAGAGTGTGAGCTGGGTGGGTCAGAGAGAGAGGGTGAGACACGGAATCTGAAGGAGGCTCCAGGCTCTGAGCTGTCAGCACAGAGCCTGACTTGGGGCTCGAACTAATGAACCATGAGATCATGACCTGAGCCAAAGTCAGATGCTCAAGTGACTGAACCACCAAGGCACGCCTTCTTCTTCTTTTTAAAATAGATATCTGAGCTCAACAGCAACACAATCTTCCAGGTGCTAGAAATAAAGAAGGAAATCAAAGCCACAATGCTGAGAGGTGGCTGAAGTCTAGCACTCCACAGGGACACCGAGATCCCTAGGATTGGGGTTTTCATACCCACAAGGGGACAGAGGTCAAGCTGAGGCCCCAGGGACAGCAGAGAAAGGAAACTGAGTGTCTTGCCCAAAACCAGGAGCTGAGAAAGGGCTGGGCACAGAAGACAGAAAAAAATCCACCCACGGGCCCTGGGATGCAGAATGGAAGCAAGTCACCCAACAGACAGTGGAGGGAAAAAGTCACTGCTGGCCCCCAGGCAGTGGGGCCCAGGAAGCTCAGGAGAAACATGAAGAAGTCAAAGAGACCTTGACATCACCATGGGGAAATTCAACCCATTATACAGATAATGGTAACCATACCATGCCCCCTCCCTAATGCTATTAGACAGTCGGGGAAACTGAGGGTCCCTGAACTTAAGTAAGTCACCTAAGGTCAGTTAGCAGGAAGTACTTAATTTCTCCATGACTCAGGCTTCCCAGGTGTAAACAGAATAATTTTAGCGTCCCTCCCTCAAAGGATTGTTGTAAGGATAAAATGAGATGCTACCTGTAAAGCACTTATTAGCACAATGCATGGCACAGAATAATAGTGTTAACACACAGAAAGTAAGTTGTAAAGGTTGAGAGATAAAGAAGGAAGACGGTCTCGAAATAACAGGGCATTGTGAAGAAAAAACGGGTACATTAAGCGAAATTCTGGCAATAAAGTGTGTAAGTACTGAAAACTCTAGTCAGTCTTCTATAGCACATTGAACCTTCTGGAGCAGGAGAGGGGCTGGGTCTCCAGTCTGGCACGGGGCTCCTCCGCCTCCCTCTCTGTCCCTCCCCCACTTGTGTGCCCGTGTGCGTGCGCACAGGTACACACGCTCTCTCAAAAATAAATAAACGTTAAAAAAATACTTTTAAAGATTAAATGAGTTAACTGGTTTTGGAACGTAGGAAATGCTCAGTAAATTTTTTTTAATGTTTATTTATTTTTGAGAGAGAGAGCGCGTGTGCGGTCAGGGGAGGGTCAGAGAGAGAGGGAGACAGGATCTGAAGTAGGCTCCAACTGTCAGCTCAGAGCCCAGTGCGGGGCTCAAACTCAGGAACCATGAGATCATGACCTGAGCCGAAGTTGACGCTTAACCAACTGAGCCACCCGGGCACCCCAGGAGATGCTCAGTACATGTCAGCGATGACTGCCAACTCCTGGATGGCTTTCTCTTCACTGGGCACCCCCAGCTGCTGAATGAATGGTGGCTAAACAACTCGATGAAGAGAGCGGCAGGCAAGTGAGGGCAACAGATGCAGGCCAAATCACAGGAGGGAAAAGGCCCCATCGTACCCAGGATGCAGCTCTCCGTCCTCTGCTGGATTCGAGAGGGGAGTACACACATCGTCACCTTCCCTCCCCCTCCCATACAAGGGCATTTACGTCATAGGATTAGAAGAAGTCACTGAATTTATTTGGAGTAAGTAAAGAGAGCCAAAGTTTCATTGGTACACACACACACACACACACACACGTGCGCTCACACACACAGATATACACATCCGAGTCAACGCTGCTCCAGAAGTCGACACTGTCTGCTTGGGGTCCCAGATTTCAGAATCCAGTATGGATCTCGGGGGCCTAAGGAGGCCCAGGCTACGTAGAAGAAATGGTGACGAGGAGGTTCCGGGAGCCCTTCCCCTGAACCCCAGGCCTCGGGAAACCTTTCCCCTCTCCCTCCCCGAGGACCACATCCACCCCTACTCCTCCCCCGCTTTCTCCCCCTTCCTTAGAGGGCATTTCCCAGCTCACCTGGAAGGAATCACCTAGTGCTCCAGGTGCCCATGCGGCCCCCTCCTCCCCATGCTGGTTCTGGCCCATTGGGATTGTCCATGTTCTCATAAGAGTCTGCATCTGATTCGGACCGGGAGAAGTAAGGTACAGGTGGAGACAGAGCAGACTGGGAGGGGGTAAGTCTCAGAGGACAGCAGGGACAGCAGCAGAAGCACCCACCTTCCTCATGATTAGGACCCGGCTGGGCCCGAAGGGAGCGGAGCTGGGGGGCTGCATACAGGATCCCTCTCATATCCTCGTAGGACTGGGACCCTGCGTGGGCAGGAGAGTTGGGAGGCCTAGCGCCATGCTGGGGGCTTGGGGAAGGGAAGTGCGGCCTGACATACAGAGGGAATCTGAGAGGCAGGAAGGTGGAAGGCTTGATCCGTGGGTACTAGGAAGGAGTGATTACGGTCAGGTATGGATTAGATTATAACCCATGTCAAGAACCCAACGGGAAGAAGTCAAAGTCAGAGTCACAGTCACGAGGAGGTTGTAGAGACAACTGGGGTCAAAGCTGCCGTTTGCGCTGGGGCTGCAGTGAGGTGGAGGTCAAAATCCAGGCTGGAATCGGATTGGGATCAGAGCTGATGTTCACAGTTGGGGATGGGGTAAATACTGGGATCAGGATTGGGGTGGAGGTTAAGGTTAGGAGTCCATCTAAGACCAGGATTAGGCCTGGGGTGGGAGTCAAGGTCAAGGTTGAGTGTGGAGTCAGCGCTGAGGCCAGGTCAACCCAATCTGGGCAAGGCAGGAGGGTCCCTAGCCATTTCTCACCAAGAGAGGTTGCCTCCCTGCTGGGATCCCAGGCAGACCCATGGGGGCTCAGGAAGTCTAGAGAAGGAAGAAGGAAGTTATTCCTGCTGGCCTCCAGGTCACCCCCCCACCCCCCCACACACACACACCCACATTACCCTGACCATCCTCACACATACCTGCTGTCCTGGCGACTGGCTGGGCCAGCTCTTCATCCTCATTCTCATAAGACTCGGCTGCTGCAGGAAAAAAAGAGAACTCCAGAGACCACTCCTGCCCTGTAGGGGCGCCACAGCCCTCTGGGTCCTCCCAAGTCGCTGAGGCCCCGCAAGGACCCCAACTGACCGCTGGAGAAGGAGTCTTCATCCCCGGGACCCAAGGCGTCGTCCTCAGGGTTCTCATAGCCGCTGCCATCTGGTGGAGAAGGAAGGGGGTCCAGCGAGGGCCCAGAGCCCGCCGCTGAGAAGGTGGGGCAGCCGCGGGGAGCACAGTCTTACCCTGGGAGAGCTGGTCCTGCCCGAGGTTGGAGTCATTCTCGTAGAACTCGGAGCCCTCCTCACTGTCCGGCTCCTCATAGGCTTCTCCTTCCTCTTCTTCTGGGCCTGGGGTTTGGGGACACAAGTGGGAACCGAGTCACAGCCCCCGCCCCCCCCTCCAGGCCCCGGTCCACTCTTCCTGACACAGACCGTTCCCACACGCTCCACGTGGGGACCCCTGCCCAGCCCCGCAATCACCTGCTGGTGGCGGGCTCCGGGGCCCCGCGGCTCCGACCTCCTGTACGTCGCTGCGCGGGTTTCCGTACGACTGGACGGCGGCCCCCAGGCCTGCAGCCCACCTTAGGGCGCGTCCTGGCGGGAGGAACGTTGTAACGGGGCGGGAGAAAAGAGATGGGGGCGGTCAAGGCTAAGGGTCTGCGAGGCTGGGCAAAGGAGAGGAAGCTGCGGGCTCCGCGGGGCACTGGAGGCTGTGCCAGCTGGGGGCGTGGCCTACGTCTCCGGGGAGGTGCGGCTCTCGGAACTGGACCTCGGGGCCCGCGTCCTGGGGGCGGGGCTATTAGCCCTGGGGTACCGCCACGGCGCTAGGGGCGGGGCTCCAATCTGGGCGGGACCCCGCGCCCGGGGGCGGAATTTTTCCTGAAGGCGGCGCTCGGAGCTCGGGAAGGCCGGGCCCTCAGGGGATTGGAGTGACCGGGGAAAATGGGTGGGGTCCTAGCTTGGAGTCAGAGCGGGCGGTGCCTCCTACCCGTCCCAGAGGTGGGCGTGGGAAGGGAGAGCACGTTCCCGTACTGATTCTGGGCCCCGCTTCCCGGGGAAGGCGTCACTTTGAAGAACCTGGCGAAGGAAGAGGGGTTGCACAGTGAGGCCAGGCCCTTGGAAGATAAGATGTAGCCACTTGTGTTTAGCTCCTGTGTTCTGGCACAGCCTATTGAGGGGTTTGGGATCACTCCAAGGAGGTCTTCACAGAGGAGGTAGCTTTGGAGCTGGGCTTTGAAGCTTGGGCAGTATTTCAACGGTAGAGAAGGGGGAAAGACATGCTGAGCAGAGGAAACAGTAAGTGCAAAGCATAAAGCAAAAGTGCAGGAATGGGAGGCTGCGGGTGCGCTCGCATCGTTACCTTCTGGTGGGATCGGTCATTCGCTTTCTTTTCTTCCTGAGGATCAGGGCTGGTGGGAGTTAAGAGGAGTGATCAGAGGAGGCAGGGTGAAGTTTTGCGGGGCACCGGGGAGGCCACTTGGGTCCATGGAGGGGATGGGACTTCAAAATCCAAGGGGCCCGGTAACTTTGGAGGGCGGTTAGAGGAGTTGGGGACAGGACTGGAGGCCTGTGGGGAAGGTATGCGAGGGGAGAAAGATGGTTGGTTGTCAGACTGGCCAGTGTTGGCTGTCCTGAGGAAGATGGGGTGGGTTAGGCAGATGGGCTGGGGGACACGACTCACCTCTTCGAAGATGAACAAAGCTCACCAGGGAACCCAGGCAGATGATCAGATAAAGTAATGGCACAACGGGGACTTTCCAGCCACCAGCCTCCAGCAGCCAGTGTCTTACTGATAGGGAGAAGCAGGTATGAGACGAGGGCCCCAGGCTGGCATCCTGCCTCCCAGCCTCGGGACCTCAAAGGACCGTAAATCTTGGGAACATGAGCAAGACACAGGTCCTCAAAATCACAAGCTACAAGGAGAGCTCTTCTCCCTCCCTCTGAGGTCACAGACTGTGCCCCAGAGCCTGACATGGGGCCTGGGGCAGTATCTATTGAACAAACCATGACTATAGTTAGACTCTATGTTAGGATTAAGGGGAGCATGTTAAGGACAGTCATTTTCAAAGTGAAGGACAGAGTCAAGTTCACAGGGTTAGAGGTGGGAAGCCACAGTGTGATGGGAGTGAAAGTTGAGGCTGAGTTTGAGAACTGTGGTTGGGGTACCACAGGATTGTATTAAGGGGGACAGAATGGGCAGAGCACTTGTGACTGGGTTGATGGATGGGTGAGGAAAAGGAAAGATACCCAGGTTCCTGGCTTTGGCCTGTGGGCAGGTGGTAGTGCCCTTCACTAACACAGGGACACCCAAAAGACTACACTCCAGGAAGATGTGGGGTTTGGCTTTGTGTATTTTGAGCCTGCAGTGTCTATGGAACATCAAATGGCAGTTCCAGGAAATGGCTGGGTGTGAGGTTATGGAGCCCAGAATCGAGTCACTAAGGCACGGTGGCCTAAGGACCCATGGGAGTAGAGGAGGGCAAACAAGAAGAATGGGTAGACCAGGATGAGAGGGTGCTGACGGTGTAAGAAGAGGCCTCAGAGCTCCAACGGTGAGGACTGGGGAGGCAGGAGGACCCTGTCAAAGCTTATGGGAAGGAGCAACCAGTAGGAAGAGAAGACCCAGAAAAGTCGTGATTTGGAAACAAGGGAGGACGGAGATGGAATCAGTGTTCAGTATGGAAGCTGGGGTTTGGGAAGAGTCTGGTACTAGCTCTCAGGTTGGGGCGCCAAGGTTGACCGGCTTCCAGTTCTTCCCAGTAGCCCCACACGGGTGCCCCACAATTGGGAGAAACTCTACCTGACTGGGCAGTGACCTTCAGCTGCATCTCGATGGTCATGTTGCCATGGTAACAATGATAGGTGCCAGCATCTTGAGCGGTCGCCTGGGGCAGCAACAGAACAGCCCCTCCCCTGAGGGTGTCTAGGACCCACATCTCTCTGACCGGGGCATCCTCCCTCAGGTTTAAGTGCAGCAATGAGATGTTATGCTTCTTGGGGCGCACGAGGGTCCAGGAGATGGGGCCTCTGGCCACGGAGGCGGGGGGCACCTCACAGGGCAGCCAGAATGTGGAGCCAGGGGCCACGGTGACGTCTGGGGCAGGGAGAGCCAAGGCTAGGAAAGTGTAATCCTTGGGGTCTCCTCCCTGCAAACCCTCCGGGTCCCAATCACCATCCCGCCTCCCTGGCACCCCCACTCCCTGGCATCTCCCCAGCACCTTACCTTGGTTGAGGCTCTGGTTCAGACCGCCCCTGGGCGAGGCACAGTCAGGGTCTGTCTCCCAGATCTCAGGGTGGCCTTTGGCCCACACGTACAGCTGGGAGCTTGTGGGGTAACCAGAAGAGGGCTTGGGGCCCTCTGAGGACCTGTTCCCCAGGCCACAGCCTGGGTCATTTAGGTATGAAGCATTCCAGCGGAACAGCTCCCCTGGGAAAAGACCCAGAACCAGATACAGACACATCCAGGAGAGGAAGAGAGACAGAGAGGGACAAAGACCCAGAGAGAGCCAGAGAGAGAAATGGAACTCAGAGACAGACAAGAGTGAAAGACATCTGGAACAGCTCAGGGTGGAAGTCACGAAGCCACAGGAGTTTTTAGGAGCCACCTAAAACTAGCTGCGTGCCTGTCCCGCAGACCCTCCGACCCCTCCCTGCAAATCTGTCTTCACTGCCGGACCATCCTCCATCCGTGGGGCCTCCCTCTTCTCATCCACCCCTCCCTGCCCTAGCCCAGACCTCACCGCTGCCCTCCACGCTGACTGTCCAGCCAGACTGCCAGGCCTGCTCAGAAGGGGGCCCCAGCTGGCACACGTAGAAGCCCCCCATCTGGTCAGAGACGTTGAAGATGAGGAGCTGGAGGCCCAGGGGCCCCTTCTGGATGCCCAGGCCTTGTGAACCTGGGTCCAGCTCTGACTGAGCCCCCTGAAACCAGGCCTGCTGCTCAGGGGGACCATCTGAGGGACCTTTGAGGCATGGCAGCTCAGCTTTGCCTCCCTCTGAGGAGAGAGAGAGAGAGAGAGAGAGAGAGAGGGAGGAACTCTTAGCCCCCTTCATTCCTCGCACTGGGTGATAACCCAGCGAACCCACAAGTTGGAAGTGGATGAACTCAGAGTCCTTCCAACCCCTCTCTGAGTTTTACAGATAATAAAATGAAGGCCCAGAGAGGATAGTTACTTGGTCAAGGGCACCCCGGCAGACCCAAGTTTCCAGCCCCAACTCCTTCCATCTGTACCCTTTGGACGTACCTTTAGCCTCCACCAGCAGTGTTTTCTGGGGCCTGACTCCCTCAGGGGTGAGGAAGAGGAGGAAGAAGACGAGAAGAGGAGGTGGCATGGCGGCCAGACTCCCCGGGGCACCCAGCTTGGCCGCGCGGTGGATGCTGGGGGCAGGTGGGGGCCTGGGGGGCACTGAACCATGAGTGTCTGTGGGGGCGGGCAGGCGGGCAGGCAGTTCCCCCCCACACCCCCGGGGGAGGAAGGGGTGGTCACGCCTCCAGTCCCCTTCCCTTGGCACCCCTCCGGACCCACAAAACCTGTCTCTACCCTGACACACTTTTATTTTCATCCCGACACCTCACACCATGTGAAATGAGCTTATTTGCGTATCCCTTTCTGTTCCTCCCACTAGAGTATAAGCCCTCAAGGCAGAGACTTGGTCCTGCTCACCACTGAATGCGCAGTGCCCTGGGACAGTCTTGGCACATCGCCGGCACCCAATAAATATTTGTTGAATTAAGTGGCTCCAGTTTTAGGGGCTCCCTCCTTCTCCCCCTCCCTCTTTCAACCTCAGGCTCTAAATCATTTTCCCTTCACACACATACCCCATTCATTCATTCAGCCGACACGCCTTGGGCCTCCTTCCCACTCTGTACAGCTGGCCCGTCACACGTACTTTGGGATCTGGCAGACTTGACTTTGAATCCTCCCCGTCTACCACTTGGCTAAGTTCCTTCATTCATCTAAGCTTTAGTTTCTTTCTCCGTAAACTGGGGACAGTGATAGCACGATGAAAATCCTGTTTGTGAAGAGGCAACAGGACAGCATGCGTGCAGCATTTTTCGCCTGGCGCATAGTAGGCCCTCAGTTAGTGAGAGGCAGCATCAGCCAGCGGCCAAGGGCGAGTGCCAGGTTGCTACTGCAGCTCCCGCACAGCAGTCCTGAGAGATGACTGGTGATCAGTGCCCCTTTGCTTCCTGGGGAAGAACTTGGGAAGCCCCTGCCTGCTTCAGCTATGGAAGGAACCCATTTAGAAATGGGGAAATTGAGGCCCCCAAAGGGCAGGGTGTTGCCTGAGATCACACAGGGAGCTCTAGAACTCGGGCATCCTAACTCTTAATAAATCTGTTCTTCTGCCCCCACTCCCACCCCATCTCTCCCCTCCTTTCCTCTTCCTCCAGCTATCTGTCTCTCTGCATACGTGGCTGTGTCTCCACTTTCACTCTGCAGTCACTCAGGGAAAGGGGCCAGGGACCCAGGAGACCTGCTTTCTCAGTTGCCAGTTCCCAGGCTCGTCTCGCTGGGCGGCAGCTTCCTGTTTGCTTCAGGCGAACCCCAGGGGACCCTCCAGCTGGTAGGGCCCCACTTCCCTTTGGTCGGGTTGGGGTGGCTAGGAGGGGGAAGAGTGGGGCATTGGGGAATCGAGAGGGTGAGGAGGCTCCGTTCGCTAGCTCCTCACTAGCTCTCCAGCTGCCTCCCCTGCACTTTCCCGCTTAGGACACCATAGGGCGGGACACCACGGGGCGGCTCAGTCGGGTAAACATCTGACTCTTGATTTCAGCTCAGGCTGTGATCTCACGGTTCGTGGGTTCGAGCCTTGCGTCTGACTCTGCGCTGACAGTGCAGAGCCTGCTTTGGGATCCTCTCTCTCTCTGCCCCTCCCCTGCGCTCTCTGTCTCCCCAAATAAATAAACTTATATATAAAAAAAGAACACTGTAGTGTTGTTTCCTCTACCTAAAATAAACACTCCACACCAAAATAAACACTCCACACCATGGCCTCCAAAGTCTGAGTGAGGCTGCACCTGCCTCCATTTCCCATCTCAACCCTCTACTACTCTGTCCCTCGCTCCAAACAAAGTCTTTGCACCTGCTGCTTTCCTTCCTGATCACTCCTCAGCTTTTCACTTCACTGGCTCCTTTTTTATCCCTCAGGCCTCAGATCAAATGTTATTTCCTCAAGGAGGCCTTCCCTGACCCTCCAGGTACCTTTGATTTCACACCCCTGTTTTATTTTTTTTTCCAGCGTTTGCCCCAATTCCCAAATATGCTTGTTTATTTGTTACTCTCTCAACTACTTCCTGCCCCAGACTGTTCACTCCTGAACAACAGGAATCTTTACTGGCTTGTTCCCTGGCATCTAGTAGGTGCTCATTAAGTATCTGTTACATAAAAATGTGAAAATGAATGAAGGGAAACCAGGCCAGAAGGGGGAGCACTCCCGCCATAACCGTTCTACCTCTATTGTAGGAAGCATTGTCAATTACAGACCCAAGGGAAGAACCCTCCACAGGAGAGAATCATCCTCACAGGCCCCAACAGGAAAAGATGTACATTACATCTCCTACAAGAAATCGACCATCCCTGCAACTCAGCCAAAGAGAAACCATTATCATCCTGAATTCTTGCTTTTCTCCAATGAATTTTCATTCAATACAACCCCTCCCAACTTTTTTTTTTTTTTAACACTTATTTATTTTTTGAGACAGAGAGCGGGAGCGGGAGAGGGGCAGAGACAGAGTCACAGATTCTGAAGCAGGCTCCAGGCTCGGAGTTGTCGGCACAGAGCCTGACGCGGAGCTCTCATGAACCGTGAGATCTTGACCTGAGCTGGAGTCCGAGTCCGACACTTAACCAACTGAGCCACCCAGGCGCCCAGTTGGGATTCTCCCAACTTCTTCTTCTCCATAAAATAACATCCCTCTCCTGTATTTGCTGGGCTAGCATATAGTTTTTGCTGTCCCTTGCTTATCCTGAATTGCAATTGTCTGCTATTCCCAAGTAAACCGTTTTTTGCTGGTAAGACAAAAACAACAAAAGGAAGTTAGGAAGAGTAAAAGAAAACTTTCTCTTCACTTCTCTCTCATGCGCTCAGTCACCAGGGCTAGTCCGTTTTCATCCTAAGTATTTCTAGAATCAACTTCCTCCTCTTTGGGGGCTCTTCCCTTCCCAACCAGAACCAATTCAATAGCCTCCTTTGTGAGCTGTCTCCTATCTTTTGCTCTTTACCTACACTCCACACAGAAAGAACTTCCTTGGTATTAGTCAGTCATGTGCTCCTCCTGCTCAATACCCTTCAAAGGCTCCCGGGGCCTCAGGATAAAATCCAAGCCTGACAATTGACTGGAGCCTTATTTATAGTCCCCATTTCATTTCCTTCCCAAGATACTCTGCCACACACACAGGGAATTTGAGGGCAGTAAACTGCTGGGGATTTATAAGCAGGAGTTAACCTGGCCTGATTTTTTTTTTAATACTCTTTTTTTTTTAAGTTTACTCATTTTTGAGAGAGACAGAGAGAGAGAGAGAGAGAGAGACAGAGAGAAAAACCCCAACGGGAGCTCAGCACAGAGCCCAATGCAGAGCTCGAACTCATGAACCACGAGATCATGACCTGAGCCGGAAACCAAGAGTCGGACGCTTAACCAACTGAGCCACCTAGATGCCCTCAGATTTTTTTTTTTTTAAGTTTGTTTGTTTGTCTATTTAGTAATCTCTACATCCAACTTGGGACTCAAACTCATGACCCCGAGATCAAGAGTCTCACACTCCTCCCACTGAGCCAGCCAGGAGCCCCTAACCTGGCCAGATTTGCATTTTCTAAAACTCCCCCTGGCTGCAGGGTGGCGAGAGGGAAGCCAGAGAGATCAGTAAGGAAAGTGTTCATTCATTTGTTTATTCACCAAATGTTTACTATGTGTGTTTTTTTTGTTTTCTAAATCAGGTACTGTGCCAGGTGCTGGCGAAATAGCAAGGGACAAGACAAAGTTACCAACCTCATGGAGCTTTGATTCAAGTTTTGGGGACCTGGAAGGGTAAAGGGGGACAGGTAATAAGTTAATCAATAAACAATTTCAGATGGTAAGAAATCATCTAATGGCAGACAGGTGATAGAGGGACCTACTTGAGACAGGATGGTGAAGGAAGGTCTCACTGAGGAGGTGTCTTCTGAGGTGGGGAACAGCTTGGTGTGTTCAAATAAGATCATGTTTAGTTTCATTAGAAACTGTCATATTCCTGGGGCACCTGGGTGGCTCAGTTGGTTGAGCGTCCCACTCAATTTCAACTCAGGTCATGATCTCGAGGTTCGTGGGATTGAGCTGAACACCTGGCTCTGCGCTGAAGTGTGAAGCCTGGTTGGGATTCTCTCTCCCTCTCTCTCTCTGTCCCTCCCCCACTCTCTCTCAAAGTAAATAAATAAAGAAAACTGTCACACTTTCTTTTTTTTAAGTTTGTTTAATCTCTACACCCAACATGGGGCTTGAGCTTGGGACCCCAAGATCAAGAGTCACATGCTCTTCCAACTGAGCCAGTCAGGCACCCCAGAAACCATCACACTCTTTTCCAGAGAGGCTACACCGTTTGCATTTCCCATCAGGAATGTAAGAGAACTACAGTTTTTCCATATACGTACCTGCATTTGGTATTATCACTCTTTTTAAATTTAATAAATTAAGCCATCCTGGGAGGCGTGTAGTGATTATCTCCTTGTGGTTTTAATTTGCATTTCCCTAATGGCTAACGATGTTGAACATCTTTTCATGCATAGATTTCCCATCTCTGACCTCAGCGAAATATCTATTCCTGTCCTTTGCCCATTTTCAAATCATAATTTTCTAGAAGATTTTAAACAGGGATGACATATCGGTTTTGCAAAGATCACTCTAATTGCTTTGAGAATTAACTGAAGGAGCCAAAAGGCGACACAGGGAACAGTTAGGAGGCATTGTGGAAGTTCGGGAGATAGGTGGTGGGGCTGAAGAAAAAGGGAGACCTTCTGGAATATTGTCCTTTGGAGGTAGAGCTTCCAGGACTTGGAGGCTCCTGGAATGTACTCCACAGCGGGAGAAACGGGTTTGGGAGAACGGGAATCAGGATACTGCACTTGTTTGAGCTGCCGGTCACCCGTCACCGTCTAAGGGAAGATGTCAGGTCGCCGGTGGCCAAGTTCATAGATAAAGAGACCTTGATTTAGGCCAGTTGCCCAGGGAGGAGAGGGATTTGCGAGGCACAGGCAGGGGGAAGGAGGATTAGAAGGGGGATTAATGGTTGAGTATCAAGGTGGGGGTGGGGACGTGGAAGATTCTGACTTCTCCAACGGATAAGGGGACCCCGGCGCCCAGAAAAGTTAAGCTGACCCAGCCCTGCCGCGGAGGTACAGGCAGGGGTACATTACAATTCGCTGTAACGTAAGCCAGGCCTCGGCAGCAGGGGACCAGGGGCCCATCTAGGGGCTGGCTGCGGGACTCGGGAGACACCGCGAGAGCTTCGCCTTCTTTAGGCTGAGGCCGGCGGGCGTCTCCGAGGAGGTGTAACTTGAGCAGAGTTTCCAAGGTCACGAGGAAAAGCCAGAAGACCTTTGATGAAAGAACTTCGGGGATTGAAGGACAAGCGCCCTTCTCGAACATCGCTGCCCAGGAAAGAAGGCGGGGAGGGGCGGGGCCTGGGGCCGCGGCCGGGCTGCGGCTCGGAAATCTTCGGCCCAGGCTCGGCAATCAACCTCCAGCTGCGGCCTGGGCCTGAAGCCCGGGGCC